ACTCGGGCTTTACAGGCTTCGGGAGAGGTCCCTTCCGGACTCCAAAGCCAAGCCCTTAAGGGCTTTGGGTGTAGGGTTTAGGGTTTAGGGCTTAGGGTTTAGGGTTTAGGGCTTAAGGTTTAGGGTTAGGGTTTAGGGTTTAGGGTTTAGGGTTTAGGGTTTAGGGCACAAACATGAACATCTGCCCTGCCCTGCCCAGCTGATCCCCGAAGTTGAAGTGAGGCTCAACCTAGTCAAAGCATGCTGGGACCCAAAGCCTTTTACAAGTTCCCTAAAATCGATAGATATATATATATATATATATATATATATTGTCGGGTCCTTGACAATTAGAATAAAGTTTTGGGAAAGATTCTACTATGATTACAATAAGGAGCCCCCAAAACAGTCGAGGGAATTTTGTTAAGGCCCCTATAATTAACCCTAAACCACAAGAAGGTAATCCCGGGTTCCTGGTTGCCGGGGCATGAACAGGCGACGCTGAAAGGACTGCCTCTGACTCCTGTCAACCAATTCTGAAGCTGAACCTCGGCCGTTGTTTTAAAGGTGCCTTGGGGGCTTTTGGGGGCTGTTTAAGGGTCTAGGCCGGTAAGAGGCGTTGAGGGCTCTTGTGGTGTTTTTTGGGGTCTAGGCTTCGGGGTTTAGGGTTTAGGGTTTAGGGTCTAGGCCTGTAAGAGGGATATCAGCATCGTCTTTGGGCTCTGGGCTGAGGGTGCAGGGCTGAGGATGCAAAGCCTGGGGCTTGCAGCTTCGTTCGAGTTCCATGAACATAAGGGTTGGTTTAGGGCTTAGGGTTTAGGGTTTAGGGTTTAGGGTTTAGGGTTTAGGGTTTAGGGTTTAGGGTTTAGGGTTTTAGGGTTTTAAGGTTTTAGGGTTTAGGGGCATCACACAGAGTGGCAATAGCAGAGGCAAAGCAGCGACACCAGATCCGGATAGCACCCGCAGCAGTTGATTCTCTGCCCCCCATGTCCATCATTTCGCTCACCAGGCCTCTTGCCCCACGAACCTCTAAGGTCCCAAAACCCAAACACCATACACCCTCCAAGCCTGAAAAAGCCCTTACTGCTGGAGCCTTCCGTTTGGGTCTTTCTCGAGTCGCCCCCGCAAAACCCAGTGAAGCCAAGGCACTGGGCTGAGGTGGTCCGAATTTCGGGGAGCTGCCTCGAATTCACAGATCTCCAGCGCATGTCTTTAAAAACCGAAAGCCCTAAACCCTAAACCCTAACCCCGAATCCCTAAACCCTAAACCCTAATCCCTAAATTAGGGCTTATAGGGTTTATAGGGCTTATAGGGTTTAGGGTTTAGGGTTTAGGGTTGTTTAGGGGTTAGGGCTTGTAGGGTTATAGGATAGGGTTAGCTTAGAGTTCAGAGCCTTCTGGCTTTAGGGACTTAGGGTCGGCTTTGGGGCTTCTGAAGGTTTTTCCGGCTTCAACACTTTAACGGTTTGGGTTTAGGGTTTAGGGTTTATGGTTTAGGGTTTAGGCCTTCTGGCTTGGGGCTTCACGCTTAGAGCTTATCAGGGGTCTAAGCCTCGGAGCTTTGGGCTCAGGGGTCGAGGCTGAGCAGTTGTAACCTAAGCCACAAAAGCTGAACCAAACCCTAAACCCTAAACTCTTTCTCCCTAAATCCTAAGCCCGACTTCTCTACCGCCTCCGACCCCAATGCACCGACTCCTCTTCGATCAATGCACAGCCTTTTGAACGACCACTCTTGGACATTCACGGGTAATTCTAAGTGGGTTTATGAGCCCCCCAATATTGGTTATAGCTATAGCTACCTTACCTGCCTGCCCCTTAGCCTGGCATCCTCAATCCGAAACCGAAACCCTTGCCACTGCAACCTACAGCTCGGAACCCCGTTTCCCAGTCTGACTACACCTGGTACAAACCGCTGAAGGTAAACCCACTAGTCGCTCTTGTACTAAGCCTTTTCGTCACCCCTACGGCAAGCCTGATGGCAACCTCCTATAGTAAACCTTATAGATTCATCAAACCGTAATCCCTAGACCCACCCAAAACCCCAACACCCAGAATCCCAAAACCCCAAAGCGCCAAAACCCAAAAAAAAACCAGACACAAAGAACCTCAAACCCGAAGACCCCAAAGCCAAACCTTGTGTATACTACGTCTTACGTCGGCGTCCGGCCTTTTCAACTTTTTGGCAGATGTCAGCCTGGGCTTAGGGTTCGGGGTACAAGCAAGGGTCACCAAACAAGGACCATGTATTCGGTTTTAGGGCTTAGGGGCTTAGGGGTT